ACCCCAGGGCAACTTTATTTATTAACATAAAATTAAAATAACATTTCAGTACAAATAAAATATCACCACAGTAAGCTGCCATATGGGTGCTCTTAACGGCTGAGACATTTTTTTCCCAACCTCTTGATGCCTTTATTTTAAACAATTCTTAATAAAGTGGAATATAGACAGAGGTAATTCATACTGGGAACATATTCACAAAGAGCAATGAAAACGAAAGTCCATTGTTAAGAGAACATACAATAAGGATATAGGAGCATTCCTTGAATAATCTGAAAGTCTATATATGTTAGACAAGGAGTAATCAACTGTTGTGCTAAAATTGGAATTTAGACTACTGGAGAAAGACTGCCATCGTAGGCAACAAAATGGCTAGGGGGAGTGGGGGAGAAGTTCGCCATCAAGCCGATGACCTGAGCTCAACCCCTCAATTCACAGTGGAAAGAGAGAATAGTCTTTCAAATATGTGTGCACATATACTCAACAATAGAATTACACAGAGCTAAGAAAACCTTAAAATAACAAAACAAAAGTTAAGGCCTGTCGTAAGAGACAATAAAGTTTCTGTCAATAATTCTAGGGCCAACTGGGAATATATCATTGCTTAAGGATCTCATGGCAATAAGTTGTGCATGATGGGAGACATTAAACTGTATGATCTGAAATGTCCTTTCGAGTTCCAGAATTTGATAGTTCCATGTTCAAGTTCTACAATTTACTGTCATTATCAAATTACTCATAGGCTTTGAAAAAGATATGTTTGTTTGTAGGAAATATACTGTAAATCCAAGAATAAGTAAATTGAACTGAGGCGTGTAACTTAGTGGTAGAGAGCTTTGGCTAGCATTCGGGGATCCTAGGTTTAATCCTTGGTATTGAAGGGAAAAATAAGTGGGTAAAAGGTGCTTGCCGCAAGCCAGACGACCTAAGTTTGATCTCTGAACCCACATAGTGGGAAGATAGGAGCAACTCCTCAAAACGCTTTTAATCCCAGCACTCAGGAGGCAGAGCCAGGCAGATCTCTGTGAGTTCGAGGCCAGTGTGGTCTACAGAGCAAGATCCAGGACAGGCTCCAAAACTACTTTCTTACCTCCACATTTGTGTGAATGCATGCACACTGGCTCTAGCTCTCGCTCACACTTTTCCTATTGCTCACTCTCTCACGTGAGCACGTGTAAACACACACACACACACACACACACACACACACACACACTAATAAATAAATAGTAATTAAAAAACCCATGTTATCTCTGAGAACTTGGTTCTCAAGCTTACAGTTGCTGCCAGAAGTCTGGTGTCATGTGATTGGGGGTCACTTTGGTGTGTAGCCTAACAGGCTTTGTAGCTGCTTGCTAGAGGGAGTTTTATGGGGGTTCTGTTCGGGGTTCTTTTTTTTTTTTTTGACACCAAGGAAATAAAGGTAAGCAAGGCATCCGGAGCTCTAAATCTGTTATTTATTCATTTTTAAAATTTGTTTACTTAGTGTGTATGCACATATGTGTGTGTACATTGAGTGCCTGTGGAAGTCAGAGGGTGACCTGGCCTGCTGAAATTGATTTTCTCCTTGTTCCATGAGGGTCCTTGGGATTGAACTCAGGTCATTAGGCTTGGGAGTAAGGATGTCAAAAACATAAATTTGGCATTTGGACTACATAGAAAAGAACACTCTCTTACTGAGAAAGGAAACGAAGGAAAAAGAGAGCAGTTTTTGTTTGTTTGTTTGTTTGTTTGTTTGTTTGTTGTTGTTGTTTTTGAGACAGAGTTTCTCTGTGTAGTTTTGGAGCCTGTCCTGGATCTCACTCTGTAGCCCAGGCTGGCCTCGAACTCACAGAGATCCACCTGGCTCTGCCTCCTGAGTGCTGGGATTAAAAGCATGCGTCGCCACTGCCTAGCACCAAGAGCAGTTCTTTATCATTGAACACTTCTTCCAGATCAGAAAAAATGTGTAACAACAGGACATAATATACACTGTTCCATTCACAACTGATTTCTTAAAATTGCAAATGAAGGTGGGAGCAGTTATTATACAGATAGAAGTCAGTGGTGATGGGCCACAACAGGCAAACTGTTCAATAATTATTTTTATTTTTAGACAGTGTGTGTAGACCCCTCACACACCAGCCTGGAATTTACCAAGTTCTGCCTGCGTCTGCTTCCCAAATACTGTGGTTAAAAATATGTGCCATCATACCCTGATGTGTAATAATTTTTAAAATGGAACAGTGTTTTAATCACATGTTCCCCTATGATTTAATTACTAGTGTATAAGTAAAAGGTCTATAATAATAATAAATGCTTTTGAAATATACTTTAGTGTTTGTAGGGTCTGAGAGAATAAAAATATGAACTATAAGGGAACTGAATCATACACTGGTTGAGGCTGTTGCTTTAAATGTCACTAGGTTTGATTTACTTGATTTGGTTGAATCTTGGGAGATGGGCTACAAGGTATTATTTCACAGAACAAAGCTGTTTTAGAGCTATCACTAGCTTTCATTACTGGTCTTTTCATTAGACCCTTAAAAAGTGAAACGTGTTTTCTCATATTTAGCGACAAGTCCCTTTCTACTGCAGGTTTTTCTGACTGTTCTTTGCTGACATTCTGCAGGTGTTCGCTTGAACCTGCAGCCGCAGGGCAGACTGCATTTCACTAAAAACAATCCCTAAGTTGTTGGGCAGGACAGGGCAGGGAAACCTGGGCACAGTGGGGCTAAACATTCATGGGAACACCATGTGACTGAGGATTTTTGTCTGTTTCCTTCGAAACGTAACCTTTTTGAAAATATTTGGTGTTTTATTCTAGTTGGGATGGTTTTTTTTTAGATTTATTTATTGAAATTTTATTGTACTTGTCCTTAGTTAATGACCACCAGTTATATCCATGTTTGTTCATTTTTAATGACTGAATAGTATTCTGTGGTGTGTGGGGACCACACTTTGTTTATCCGTTCATGAGCTGATGAACACTTTGGTTTTTTTTTTTTTTTTTTTTTTTTTTCTGTTTCTTGGCTAATTGTTAACCATGCTGTGCTAAGTAAATATTTTAAGTTGCTTAATAAGTTTTGAAGTGAGGTTTTTTTTTTTGGTTTTTGGTTTTTGGTTTTTGTTTTTGTTTTCTTCGAGACAGGGTTTCTCTGTGTAACTTTGCGCCTTTCTTGGATCTCACTCTGTAGCCCAGGCTGGCATCAAACTCACAGAGATCCGCCTGCCTCTGCCTCCCGAGTGCTGGGAGTAAAGGCGTGTGCCACCACCACCTGACTTGAAGTGAGTTTTTAATCCACTCTGACAATCTCTGTCTTCTAAGCAACCTGTTTAGACCACTTAAATTAAAAGAATGCTGGATATGATGATGGTGTATGCCTGGCATCCTCAGGATACAACAGGATATCCTCAGGATAACACTCAGGAGGCAGATGGGTTTTTCTGAGTTTGAGACCAGCCTGGTCCTCATAGAGAATTACAGGCCAGCCAGGACTGCAGAGTGAGACCCTGTCTCCAAAGTAAAATCAAAATGAGTGTTGGTGGGATTTGAATAAGACATGTCTGTTACTACTCGGTCACCGTGTCTGAGTGAGGGGCTGCGGATTAAAAAGAGAGACAAGCCATTTGTCTCATTTGTCTCAGTAGAATGCCCTTTATTGAAGGAGGGAGGAGGCCTTAAATACAGACTTACAGTACGGTGGAAGAGCAAAAGAGGGCAAAGGTAAGCTACAGATGTTTTACACTCTAGCATTACACCAATATGCAGGATACGCGAACAAGGAACCTTCGGTAAGCTGTTTAGGAAGAATGAAACCCGCAGGGAATTAGCATAGGGAGGACATCTGATCAAGGTCAGCAAGCAAGGCGACAGCTACTCAAGGAACAGGGGTCAGGGTCCAACACATGTCTCTTAATTCTGTTTCTTTCTCCTGTTCCTATTTTCTTCCCCTCCTGTGGATTACATGAAAACTTTTAAAATTTCATTGTGATTTATCCGTACTGCTATATAATACATTTAATATAGTCAATTTTAGTGTCTGTTTCAGGTATTACAATATACATATTAACTTCTCACACTCCGCTGACATTGACATTTTAAATTATGTCCAGCAGTATAGAAATCTCACTCCTTTTAGATCCGCTTAACTTCTTTTTAAAAATACATTTTTTTTCACTTTGTTCATCTCTCTGTATTCTTTTTTTTTTTTTTTTTTACAATACCATTCAGTTCTACATATCATACATATCAGCCACGGGTTCCCCTATTCTTCCCCCTCCCACACCCTCCCCTTACCCCCAGCCTACCCCCCATTCCCACCTCCTCCAGGGCAAATCCTCCCCCGAGGACTGCAATCAACCTGGTAGACTCAGTCCAGGGAGGTCCAGTCCCTTCCTCCCAGACTGAGCCAAGTGTCCCTGCATAAGCCCCAGGTTTCAAACAGCCAACTCATGCAATGAGCACAGGACTCGGTCCCACTGCCTAGATACCTCCCAAACAGATCAAGCCAATCAACTATCTCACCTATTCAGAGGGCCTGATCCAGCTGAGGGCCCCTCAGCCTTTGGTTCATAGTTCATGTGTTTCTATCCATTTGGCTATTTTTTTTTCAATAATTGAGTAGAACCGAAATTTATAAAAATACATTTTTAAGTATTTCAGCTACAGAAGGAGAGAATTATGCTAGATGGCATTTATTTTTTTTTTTGAGGTTTCCACTCTCAAACATAATTTTAAAAACATGTAAGGGAGCTGGAGAAATAGCTCAGCAGTTAAGAGTGCTTACCAATCTTCACTAGGATCCAGGTGTGATTCCAAGAACCCACATTAGTGCACTCACAACCACCTCTAACTCTAGTGCCAGGGGTTCGGACATCCTCTGGCCTCCATCAGCATGCCTCCACTGGCACTAGAAACACACATGGTACACAATAATCTCACACAAGTGCACACACATAAAACTAAATAAACCAAAAAATAAATAAATAAATAAATAAATAAATAAATAAATAAACCTTAAAAACACACGAGAGTCCATTCTACTCATCCTTAGTTTTACTCATTTTAATGTTTTCTTTTTTCTTCATAGAATGACATTATTCTTTTGACATCTTAAGGGTGTTTCTGCTGTTCACAAATTCTCCTAATCTTTTTTTCATGACTGTTTATATTTCCCCTTAATTCTGAAAGGATCTATTAATGAATGGAGAATTTGTGTTTGGGAACAGATGGGAAAGTGGATCGTGGATCAGTCCTGTTGTATTATCTCTTTAATGTTTCAGGTTTCCCCTTAAAAAGCAAAACAAAACAAAATCTCGACCACATAAGTAGGACAATGATCCAAGCATATGTGAATGTTCTGGTCCTGTAAACAGTTGTACAGGAAGTCATAGAGCTATTAAAATGTGACGGTGAACAGTCATTTTGAGAGGAATACTCAAGTATAACTTCCTTGTAAAACCTTAAAAGGCAATAAGGTGACTGTTTTTAAACTTACAACCTTAGGGAAGGATGAGGATTTCTTGCTTCATTAAATATATAGGGCTTTTGCGATATTTAGTTTAGTTTATATAACATAAAATTAGGTGAAAAAAATAAGAGCATTTAAGCACACTAGTGTGTCAGAAGTCATAAACAAGTAGCTAATGTAAATTCAAGACAAACTTGTTCAGTAACCAGGATAAACAGTTTAAAAGAGGCATTCTTGCCAGGCGGTGGTGGTGCACACCTTTAATCCCAGCACTCCAGAGGCAGAGGCAGGCGGATCTCCGTGAGTTCGAGGCCAGCCTGGTCTACAAAGCGAGATCCAGGAAAGGCACAAAGCTATACAGAGAAACCCTGTCTCAAAAATCAACACACACACACACACACACACACACACACACACACACACACACACACACACGAGGCTTTCTTAGAAATCCAGGAACTATGTTGAAATTTGCTAACAAAGGAATACACAGCACCAGTAACTATAATAGAAAAAAATACCTGAATATGGGTTTGGTAGCACTCCATGGTACGGTTACAATTCTATTTGAATTCAAGAAAGGTGCAGTGTTTGGCTGGCCACATATCCTGAGGAGACGGTGGAAGAAGGATGAAGGTGTGCGTAGGCCGGGGCTTCTGGATATGGTTTATGTACAACATCAGCAAAATGGTCAAAACCTGCTAAACCTCCATTATCCTAGGAGATTCACAGGAGCAAACTCTGGCACTGGCACCTACTAAACCACTTGGGCATAGGCACTGAGCAGCCAGGAAGGATGGGGACATGAACTCACAACTGTGTGGGGCTGGATCACACCGGTTTAGTGGAGGGGGGGGGTCCTAAGTTCAACAGAGACCTGCCATGAGAAACCACGGGCGGGGCCCCTAAACCAGCAGCTCCAGGCCTGGGCCTCAGGGTTCAGGGCGGCGGGCTCTTTACCGGATCTCTGAGACTAGTCTGCAAGCATGCTGCGGGGTCTCCATCTCCATCATTCCAGAGTCTGCAGCGAGTAGGCGGAGCTGAGCAGCTGCAGGTCTGGCGGGAGGGCGCGAATCCACTGAAGCTTCAGGGTAGTGGGTGGAGCACTGAAGGCTTCAGGGACCCCGGACCCCGAGGGCAGGGCTTTGGACCGTGGGGGGAGGGGAGGGGGGATTGGGGCCGCGTGGCACACTGGGCTGGCTCTGCTGCAGGTGAGCAGATGAGCCAGGCCGATGGCGGTGACTACAGCCCTGTCTGCTGCAGCGGCGGCTGCGGCCCTATCAGGCCTGGCAATGCGACTGTCGCGTTGGGCGGCGACACGCGGCTCCTACAGCGCCTTCTGCAAGGGGCTCACGCGCACGCTGCTCACCTTCTTCGACCTGGCCTGGCGGCTGCGCGTGAACTTCCCTTACTTCTACATGGTGGCCTCGGTGATGCTCAATGTCCGCCTGCAGGTGCGGATCGAGTGAGCCATCGCCCGGCACCACGGCGGCCCCTCGGGCGGAAGGCGCCACCCGCGCCAGGCGGCCGCGGGAAGGACCGTGGGGCCGCGCAGAGCCCAGAGACCGCGGCGGGGGGCACAGGCGGGACGGCCCGGGCCCCTCCATTTTAGGCCTCCTCCGCGGAGGACCCAAGGTACCATATCCCATACCGCAAAAAAACCTTCACAGCCGAGTCCTTTTCCACTGCATCCAGAGAATCACCAGAGTCTGGCAAACCTGTTGCCTCCCATTGGCCAGAAAGGGGCAACACTCGAAAGAGGGGATGCTACAGCAGGACTTACCAGGCCCTGTGCGGGAAGGTAGGTGCAGACAGGTTGGAATGGAGGCTGGTGGGTATGACTTGTTTGTGGGAAGAGGGAATACACCATGGCACACATGCTGCTTAGCCAAGCTTGGAAACTGAAAAGGTAGGCGAGGCTCTCCCGTGTTCCCTTCTGGCGGTTCCATGATTGGGTACTGGGCGGCCATAGCATCTTGGAGGGCCAGCTTATCACCAACACACAGACAGGAAGCCCCTCCCACCCACCTTCCAGGTCTCAAGTCCCTTTTTTTGTAAAAGCTTCCTGAGATGTAACCTGAACCCTGAATGGGACAGGATTAGGCCAGTGAGCCACCAGGAAGGTCCCATGAGGGACCTTTGATCCTTACCTGTTGGGTGGTCAGATAAAAAGGACAGTTCTTTTCTGAACCAAACCTCAGGTCTGTCCCCTTCTTTGCATGGAGACCCAAGGAGAGTCTCTGCAGCTCTGCACAGCCCTCCTCCAAACTGCTCCTGCACTGTTGGGGATTGGGCAGGGTCTGGCCTCTGCCTGCTCCTCCTGCCCTCCCTCTTGCTCCCCTAACCCGGTCTGGGGGCATCCTCAGGCTCTGCATCTGCAGAGAGGAAAGAACAGGAACTATTCCTCCCTGTCTGCCCGGCTCCCTGCAGCCCCTGCGATGACACTCTCCAGACCCAGAAGCCCATCTACCAGCCATGGGCAGCCTGGCAGCTGTGTACCACAGGATCTGGGGAAGGGGAAGGACTCCAGGAGAGGCAGCTGCTGTCAGAATAAGGTAGAGAAGGAGAGTGCACAGGAGGCCAGCTCTGAAGTCTCCCTCTTTTTTATTTCAGGTCTTGCTCTTCTAGGTGATGGCTCACCACTTCTGAGATCATTTCAAGATGGATCCCTACATGGAGATGCCTGCTGCTGTTCCTGTAGCAGCCCGGGGAGCAGCTGAGTGAAGAGCCTACCTAGAAGAGGAAAGGCCCTTCTGGTAGAGGCCTAGAGGGGTGTCGTGGCTCGGGTCTTCTGGCCCTTCCGTAGAAAAGATGCCAGTGTACCTTGGGCACTGATATCTCCTAGCAACACTGTGAGGGAGATGTCTTCTCCCACCTCATGAACTCAGTGGGGCTCAATGAAAGGTGTGGGATTTGCCCTTGTTATACACAGAATAGTGGGGAGCTCAGCCTGCCCTAGACCTCCATTCCCCCACCTCCTCTGCAGTCTTCTTTGGGGTTGGGAGGGAGTAGAGAGCTGCCAGGGGACCTAGGGAGAAAGAGAGACCATGGGGTGGGGAAGCTGGGCATCTACCTTTCCTTGGAGTGGTCCAAAAGACAGACCAGTAGTTGAGTTCATGAACAGAGAGGAAGGTTCGAGAAATTCCTGAAATGTCTAGTCCTCCCTACCTCTCTGGTGCTTGACCAAGGGCTCCTGAGCAGGTGTGTGCTAGTGGACTGCAAATGTGGTTCATGAGAGGTTGGGGAACTACGTGCTGAAACCCATGGTCTGTATGGCCCTGTTTCTCTGTTCCCAGGCTTGCAGCCCCATTCCTAGCATCACATGGAAAAAATCTCCTCCAGATAGGCTGAGGACAGTCTGTCAGGAGGCCCTGCATAGGCTAGAGTCTCCAAACGCCCAAGGACAGCCCAAGGGGTACTTTTACTACTTATCCAACACTCCCCCAGCTTTTCTATGCTGGTATCTCAAGATCCATGCATTCCATTCCTGATGCAGAAACCTTCAGCATGCCAGCCAGCCCCAGGGACAGAGTGACTCATCCGCCTACTTGGAGTCAGAGACCCAAATGAAGATCTGTCTCAGCTGAAGGACACAAGCTGAAAGGTGGCTGCCACATGCTTTCTGCTGTTTGCCATAGCCCAGGACCTGATGGCTTCCTTCTGCCAAGTCTCCCTGAGTAGTCCATATATGTATGTTTGAATGCATGTGTGCACGCCTGTGTGTAAACATGTGTGATGGAGATGGAGCTGTTGGGTAGCGACAAGAGCTCCTGGGAATCTCCTGTTTTCTGTGTACAGGAGGGATCATGGACTACTTGGAGAAATGGGTATGGAGTCTGAGGCCCTGCCTTCTTAGACCTCCCAGTCCAGGGAAGCCCCTCCCTGCTCATGCTCAGGCATGGACTGTGGTGTGAAGTCAGAGGCACTGGCATTGGACTGGATTCTGGGCCCAGTGGCGTCAGTCAGGAGACGGGGATAGAAGGAGGACTCAGCTTTGTGTTTGTGTCCCATTGTGGCTCTGAGCAGTCTGAGCTTCTGCGTCCCCCCCCCCCCCCCGGGCTACTTCTGTTCCTCCCTGGTGCCCTCGCTGTGTGATGGGGTGGTGATGCACTTTATTTCCTTGCAGTCTGCATTGCAGGCAGCGGAACATCAATCAGTTCAGAGACTTGGATGAGTGTACATTTCCTTGTGTGATGAACTCTGCATTGCCAGTGTTGTCTGGTCAGAGATGGAGTTCCGATGCTGTCACTTGTCTCCCAAAGTGAGAAGAAAACCCTTGGGTTCAGTACACCAAATACCGCCTGCACGCCTCCTGTTTTTCTTGGGTGCCATACCGTACCTGGGTGGGGAAGCGGGCAGGGTATGGGACAGCAAGCCCAGAGGGTCATCCAGAGCTGAGCAGGGAAAGTGCAGCTTCAGAGCCTCCTTCTAGACTGTCCTTGACAGGACCACCACCCTCTGCTCCCCCTGCACCAAGGGGGGAACAGTCGAGCTGGCCCCGAAGGTGGCCGTTATTCCTGTCCAGTATTCAGAGAAAGAAGCTGAAGCAAAGGTTCTCTTTCATTCCAGGTCTGGCCTCAGTGAGTTTAATTCAAGTTGAACCTCGAGAGGGAGGCGAAATGAAACAGCGCTGTGCAGGCCACTCTGTGACGCCCAGAGACCCCTCTGCAGTAGCAGGCGGTAAAGCCCTCACTGCCGTTTGGGCAGCAGCTTGGGAGGGACTTGTGAGAAGATAGACCACCCACCACATGTGGGAGCTGCATGCCTGCTTTTCTATCATGGCTTCATCTCGGTTCTCTCAGAGCTCCATTCTGAGAGGTCACCAGAGAAGCCAGGAACCCTAGAGCTGAGGTGAGGTGGGCCTTAGCAAGAAGACAGGAGGCTTAGTTGGGATGAGGCTGGGAGAGGTCAGACAGCATGGCGGTAAGACACTCCCCTGTGAGGGCTGGGAAAGAAGCAGTCAGGAGGCCAGGAAAGGCAACATGAAGCTCAAATGCATTGCGGGGAACTAGAGAAAGTCAGGAAGTTTTTCTGAGAAGATATAAAAACAAAAGCCAAGGAGCAAAAGAGGGGCCTCAGAAGTGCTGTGGAGCAGGATGGGGGGTGCTGGGGTGCTGTAGAGCATGAGAGGTGATTGTGGGGTGCTGTAGAGCAGGACAGGAGACTCTGGTGTGTTTAGAACAGGACAGGGGGGCTCTGGTGTGTTTAGAGCAGGACAGAGGGGCTCTGGGGTGCTGTAGAGCAGGACAGGGGGGCTCTGGGGTGCTGTAGAGCAGAACACGGGGTTCAGAGGTGCTGTAGATCAGTACGGCAGTATCTGAAGAGTTGTAGAACAGGACAAGGGCTCTGGTGTATTTAGAGCATGACAGAAGACTCGGGTGCTGTAGAGCAGGACAGTAGATTCTGGGGTGCTGTAGAGCAGGACGGGGGGTCTGGGGTGCTATAGAGCAGGGCAGGGGGTTCTGGGGTGCTATAGAGCAGGGCAGGGGGATCTGGGGTACTTTAGAGCAGGACAGGGGGCTCTGGGGTGCTGGAGAGTAGGACAGGGGCCTTTGGGGTGCTGTAGCGGCGGACAGGGAAGTCGTGAGGCGTTGTAGAGCAGGACAGTGCGCTCTGGGATTCTGTAGAGGACAGGGGCCCCAGGGGTGCTGTAAAGCAGTCAGGGTTCTCTGGGGTGCAGTAGAGCTGGACAGGGGGCTCTGGGGTGCTGTTAAGCCAGACAGGGGACTCTGGGGTGCTGTAGAGGAGGACAGGGGGGCTCTGGGGTGCTGTAGAGGAGGACAGGGGGGCTCTGGGGTGCTGTAGAGCCGGGCAGGGGTCTCTGAGGTGCTGTAGAGCAGGACAGGGCTTCTGGGGTGTTGTAGAGTAGGACAGGGGCATCTGGGGTGCTGTAGAGCCCTACTCGGTTTTCTGGGGTGCTGGAGAGCTGGACATGATCTCTGGGGTGTTGTAGAGCAGGACAGTGGGCTCTGGGGTGCTTTACATCAGTACTTGGTGCTCTGGGGTGCTGGAGAGCAGGAGAGGGGGTTGTGGGGGTGCTGTAGGGCAGGACAGGAGATTCTGGGATGGTGTACAGAAGGACAGGGCATCTGGGGTGCTGTAGACCAAGACAGGGGGGCCTTGGGTTGTTGTAGATCAGGACAGG